CTATGCCAGCCCTCTCTCCTCCAATGCTGCGGGCAGAATCTCAGGGTTTGTTTTCATTGGACACGGTCTGTTCCGTCCCTTTGTTTCTTTACATGACACATATGTGTGAGATCAGCTTTTGTCTTTCTCCTGTTTCTTTCACTTAACCCCCACCGGCTCCATCCATGTGGTCGAGAGAGGCAAAGGTTTCATCTTTTCTTACAGCTGAGTTGTATTCCACAGAAACCGACCTCTTTTTCTTTTTCCTTTTTGGGTCTGGGCCCTACGCAAACAGGATGAGAACGCTATTCAGGTCTCCCAAAGAAGAATAGAAAGAGTTATGCTTGGAATATCACGTTTCACTCAAATGAGAGAAAGAATCCGGAGTTCTGACATCCATTGACGATCAAGAATCAGGGACGCTGTCTCGTTTGCCAAGGCGTCAAAAATCAGATGGGCTGGTCACGTAATGAGATTTATAGACGACCGCTGGACTAGAGCTGTTACCGACTGGATCCCACGGGATGTCAAAAGACCACGTGGCCGCCCACCTACCAGATGGTCAGACTTCTTCATCAAGATCATGAACGATCGGTTTGAGGCTCTTCATGTTTCTAGAGCAAACAGACGCCATTGGGCTACACTAGCACGCGACAGGGACAAATGGAGACATTACTGGCGCCCGCTCGAGCAAATCGCCGGTTAATCGGAAGTCAAGTGATCAAGTGATCTTTTTGGATCACACCTGGCGATGCACAGGGGTCACTCCTGGCTCTGCACTCAGGAATTACCCCTGGCAGTGGTCAGGGTGCCCTATGGGATGCTGGGAATCGAACCCGGTTCAGCCTTGTGCAAGGAAACGCCCTCCCCGTTGTGCTATCGCTCCAGCCCCACCTCCTTTCTTTTTTAAATCCACTCATCTGTCATGATACTGCAACGGACATAGGTATGTCGATCTATTTTCTAATTAGTGGTTTTGTGTCCTTGCGGGAGAGATGCCAAGGAGTGGAATGGTTTTGTCAGATGGTGGTGCTGTTTTCCATGTTGGGAGAAGTCTCCCACTTTTCCACAGAGACGAACCCAGACAATATACCTACCAACAGTGAAGGAAGGTAGGGAAACCCCCTTTTCTCCACACCTCGGACTCTTTCTCATATAAATTTCTGATATAAGTCATTCTCACTGGCATGAAACATCTCATTTGATGTTTTGATTTGCAATTCCCATTAGCCACCGATAATGCCGATAATGAACTCATTTCATCTGCCTGTTGCCCGTCTGTATTTGTCTTCTTTGGGGGAATTGTCGTAGGGCGTTTGCCTTGCACGCAGCCAACATGGCCAACCCGAGTTCGATTCCTCCACCCCTCTTGGAGAGCCTGGCAAGGTACCGAGAGTATCTCGCCCGCACGGCAGAGCCTGGCAAGCTCCCCGTGACGTATTCGATATGCCAGACACAGTAACAACAAAGTCTCCAATGGAGACGTTACTGGGCCCGCTCGAGTAAATCGATGATCAACGGGAGGGCCTTTACTTACTTACTTATTTATTATTTTTTGGGGGGTCCACACCCAGTGATCTACAGGGGTTACTCCTGGCTCATGCACCCAGGAATTACTCCTGGCGGTGCTCGGGGAACCATATGGGATGCTGGGAATCGAACCCAGGTCGGCCGCGTGCAAGGCAAACACCCACCTGCTGTACTATCGCTCCAACCCTCTCTCTTGACAGGGGGCTCCCTACTTTTTTAATGGTTTGTTTCTGCTGTTTAGTTTTTGAGGGTGTTATATTTCTTGAATATTAGTCATTTGTCAGATTTTTTGCATGCAGATTGTCTCTCACTAACTGGAATGCTAAAGAATCAGTCATAATTTCTTTGCAGTACAGAAGCTTTTGAGTCGTGTGTAGTTCCATTCATTTTTGTTTTCTTTGTGGAAGAGGTTTTGCTTCCTCCATTTTATGCTCTCAACTTTTTTGTCATAAATTAACTGTCCATGTGTGAGAATTTTACTTCTAAGCTCTCCATTCTACCTTAGTCTGAGGGCCTGCTTTTATTCCAGTACCACACTGTTTAGATTACTACAGCTTTATGGTATAGTTGGAGTTGGGTAATGTGATTCCCACCTCTCCATTTATTCTTAGAACTGCGTTGGCTATTGGAAGATTCGTGGTTCCATATTAATTTTTTAAAACTTTTTTTACTGAATCACTGTGAGGGAGACCTTTACAAAGCTGTTCATGATTGGATTTCAGTAACACAGTGTTCCAACACTGTATAAATTTAACTAGTATTTTTTCCATGTCCTTGAAGAATGTCATTGAATTTTGACAGGGACTGCATTAAGTCTGTATAATACTTTAGGTTAGGGCTGGAGCGATAGCACAGCGGGTAGGGCGTTCGCCTTACAAGTGGCCAACATGGCCGACCCGAGTTCGATTCCTCCGCCCCTCTCGGAGAGCCCGGCAAGCTACCGAGAGTATTCGATATGCCAGACACAGTAACAACAAAGTCTCCAATGGAGACGTTACTGGGCCCGCTCGAGCAAATCGATGATCAACGGGAGGGCCTTTACCTTTACCTAATACTTTAGGTTGGATAGTCATTTTAACCACATTAATTCTTCCCCTCCATGAGCATGGGATGTTTTTCCATTTCCCTGAGTCATCTATTTAACAGTGACACCGTTTCTGATGCATAAGTCCCTCACCTCCATTGTTGACTCTCAGTCACTCGATATCTTTTTTTCACACAACTGTAAATGGGGCTGGTTTTTAGATTTGATTTTTCTTCTAAATTGTTGTTTGCATCTAGAAATACAGCAGGCCCTTGTGTACTGATCTTGTCATCTGCCACCATAGAAGTTTATTGTTTTCAATAGATTTTGAGGTGGAGTCTCTTGGATTTTCTATGTGAACTACTCTGTCAGTACAAATAGTGATCACTGAACTTCTTTTCGAGTTTGAATCCCTACATTTATTCTTCTTGCCTAATTGCCAACACTATGAATAACAGTGTTATTCCTAACGGCCAGGATCCAGAGATTATCACACTCAGCTCCTGGAAGCACGTGGCCGCAAATGCGGCCGTGCGACATCTTATCATCTCATTCCTACTTTGAACAAACTGGCAGGCTACCGAATGTAACCTGCCCGCATGGCAGAGTCTGGCAAACTCCCCGTGTCGTACCCAATATGCCAAATACCAGTAACAAGGATGGGTCTCATTCTCCTAACCCTGAAAGAGCCTCGAATATGGCACTTTTTAAAAAAATCTCAGGGCTAGGACGAAGGAGACGTTACTGGGGCCTGCTCGAGGCAATCAACGAATAACAGGATGGTCGTGATTGTGATTGTGATGAATAACGGTGGTGAGAATGGGCTTTTTTGCTCAATCAGTGGAGGAAAGACTTTCAGTTTTTACTGTTGAGTATGATGTTAACTGTGGGCCTTGTTGTAAACAGCTTTTACTCTACTTCTACCTTTGTAGCACTGTGATCTGAGAAGATATTTGATTTTATTTCAATCTTAATGATTTACTGACACTTAATTTGTGTCTCAGCACATGGTCTATCCTGAAAAATGTTCTATGTGCACAGGAGAAGAATGTGTACTCAGCTTTTGTTGAAGGGAGAGCCCTGTACACATCTATTTAGATCTGCTCTTCCAACTCCTCATTCAGGACTACTGCTTTTTTATTGATTTTATCTCTGAGACTGGGTTTAGAATGCAAGTTACATCTGAATTCGTGTATGTGGCTCTTTTTTAGTACTGTCCCATGTGATTTTTACTTGTTACAAGCAAATGGTCATAATATATTGATATAGTTCGATTCCTCCACCCCTCTTGGAGAGCCCAGCAAGCTACCGAGAGTATCTTGCCTGCACGGCAGAGCCTGGCAAGCTACCCAGGCTACCCCGTGACATACTCGACATGCCAAACACAGTAACAAGTCTCATGATGTAGACATTACTGGGCCCACTCGAGCAAATCGATGAACAACGGGAGGACCGTGACCGTGACCGTGATGTGTCCTTAGAAGTATGACAATAAAATTATTGCCATCATACTTTGCAAAAAAATGCTATAAAAGACTTTTTTTTATTATTTCTCTAAAAGATCATTTTTCAATTGATTGGTACTATTATTTAAACTTTAGCCAAGTAGTTATCAAAAGAATCAAACCGGACCATACAATTTAGGTATTTTATCCTTATTCCTTTAACACTAACTGTGAAAAGTAGATTTTGTATAATATCCATCCACTGATGGGTATCGAGGAGGATAATCTGGTATTTGCAGTATGTCATCCTTACCTTTGAAAAGAAAAGTTGACTGACTTATATCCCAGGGGACAGGCTCAAAAGCACCTTCCCATGCATAAACAGCACGCCACAGTTTTTACACAGTGAAAAATAATAAAATTAACATTTAGCCCAACTGACCATTCATTATCCTTCTTCCAATTTAGCCATCATCTATGTGTATAAAAAATGTATTTTTCCTTTGATCTCTAGGAGACATCCAGCTTTATTACATCTACATTAACACCACGATGATAGGAGTGTACTGTGTCCTACTCTGCTTTATTCTTTTTTTTTTTTTTTTTTTTTTTTGCTTTTTGGGTCACACCCGGTAATGCTCAGGGGTTACTCCTGGCTTTGCACTCAGGAATTGCTCCTGGCGATGCTCAGGGGACCATATGGGATGCTGGGAATCAAACCCGGGTTGGCCGCGTGCAAGGTAAACGCCCTATCCACTGTGCTACCGCTCCAGTCCCAACTCTGCTTTATTCTACGTGGACTCACAACTTCCAGAGGAGGGACCCAACCGGGAAATACCACGGGATAGCGGTTATGTCATTGATGTTTTCTTTTCTACATTTGCTAATTAGGTAATTGCCACTTCTAAGGGAAAATGGTGGCCCAGGAGAGGTACATTTTCATCTTCCAGAAACTATCCCAGAGAAAAGAAAAGAAAATCTGAGTAATGGGAGTTAAACAGAGGCTGCTCGAGGTCACTTACATTATTGATCATGAGGTGCATGATGGTCTTTGGGATGAGGTCTCGGATGCACTTATTGATGATGGACATGTAGGAGTCTACAAGGTTGCGAATGGTCTCGACTTGCCTCTCCAACTGGGGGTCCATGGAAAAGTTTTCAGCCTGGCCATTCTCATCATTTTCTGCCTAAGAGAGAGAGAGAGGAAAGAAACACATGATCTCACATTCATTCAGAAGGGAAGAAAGCCCCAACAGGCTTAGATGATCTAGTTCTACCGAGCGTACTCGGAACTGCACCTCTAAATGGATGCTTCTTTATCTTCTTGTGCAGCCATAAATTTTCTTTCTGAAAAGAGAGCCAAACCAGGCAGTGACTACTCTCCTCCTCTCTGCCACATGCTAGGCAGAGCAAGTCTTCAAATTCTGCCTGGATGTTGCAATGGAGAATCAGATAAACATCCACCTAACGACATACCTCTCGAGAACAATTTCGTCTTCAGCTATTTGCACATGGGCCAAAGAACTGTGTCCAAACAGATGATGCAGATGTTCAAACCTCTGGGAGGGGTCTCCAGAGATTCTATAGATTAGAAATAACCTTGGTATTCTGCAACTCCCAAGTCTCCTCTGGACTGGATCAGGCCAGATTTAAAACTGAAGCTCTTATGGCCTGGTCTGAAGCCAAAATAAGAGATAGAGAGGAGAATTCATTTTTCCATGTACTTGCTGAAATTTGTCATGTACATCCACGCTCTGTCATCACCACCAGAGGCTGGCTCCATTGTGAAAAACTTCCCATTTTAACTTCCAACTTGTTATTCTTTGAATAAAACAGAACACATCTCAGCACAAAGAATTTATTTGTGCAACATGGGAGAAGCATCTGTTTCCTATACGATGGGATTTGAGTTAATTAATTTTGGCTTACCCACCAGGGGCAGGGCTGAACTGGCATCTTCATCATTACGGGCTGACCTATTGGCGTTGCGCTGAAATCAATTTAGAACAAATGCTCGCCGTGTCAAGTCGGGTTGAATGGTCTAAGCCCCAGAACTTGATACAAATATTGTTTGTGGGTGCCCTGGCTATTTTCTGGCAGTTGGAAAGGTTTAATTACCAATGCAAGGGAGGGGGAAAGAATGAAGGAATAAAAAAGGAGCGGGGAGATAATTTATTGCCTCTAATGTGAACGCGAAGTACTTTTCTTGGGAAACGTACACACTTTGATCTGCCAGCCCTTCCATCATCGACTCAGTTCCAGGCAGAAACTCAGTGCAAAAGCATCTAAGTATGTCTGTACGTGACAGGCTTCCCTCGGAGCCCCATGTGCTTGTGTGCAAGGGGTTCCTGCCCGAGCCACGAAAGCAACGGTAACCCGGAGGAAAATTGGTTCTAATCATTCACTTCGGCTGCGGTTGCTCAGAAATCTCCAATGCTTTGCAAGAAGATGAAATCATACGGGCTTTACTCTAAAACTCAAGAGTTTCTCCAATCCCGAGAATAAGATCTCACCCTCCCACCCTCACCCCTGGTGTTCCAGGGGCGGTTAAAGGATGTTTTGGGTAGGGGAGGATGGAACAGGAGGGCAGAGTGGATATGTAACAGGGAAGTTATCCTCCTAATGCCGTTTCTTGCAGAAAATGACTCCTTGGTCACCAGGAGGAAAGCCTTTGTTTGTTTGTTTGTTTTTTTTGTTTGTTTTTGCATCACACCCGGCAGTGCACAGGGGTTACTCCTGGCTCTGCACTCAGGAATTACTCCTGGCAGTGCTTGGGGGACACTATCAGATGCCGGGGATTGAACCTGGGTTGGCCGCGTGCAAGGCAAATGCCTTCCCCGCTGTGCTATCACTCTGGCCCCCCACCCTAGAGGTTTAATGGGGTTGCAGCTCAACTTTGTCACCTTCTAAATGGACACCCGAGAGCCTGGGAGTCACTAGCTTCAGAGGGTTGGGGCACTTGGCTATTGAGTACAATAGAAGGGCCCAATGACAGCCGCGGGCAAGAACACACTCCCTGCCTCTTACGGGCACACTGAGGGCTGGTCCTGGCTGCTGGGCACTGGACACTCTCAGGCCCTTTGCTGAGAGAGAAGATTCCCAACCAAGACAGTTTGAAAGGTCTGGTCTGGTTTCCGGGTCCCCCTAGGGTGGAAGTCAGTTTAATACGTGATTTTTTTTTCTTTTTGGGTCACACCTGGCGATGCTCAGGGTTTCCTCCTGGCTCTGTACTCAGGAATCATTCTGGCGGTGCTCAGAGGATCCCATGGGATGCCAGGGATTGAACCCATGTTGGCAGTGTGCAAGGCAAACACCCTCCCCGCTGTGCTATCACTCCGGCGTCAGTTAGTACTTGTTAAGAGAAATGCAGGGAACACGGAGCCTTTCTGAGGCACACAAACAAATTCAGAAAACATATCAAGAGAGTGAAAATGTCTGTAATATATACGTCTGCTTCACATAGAAAACAGTGAAAAAGCATTCCTGGGTAGATGTAATTAAAATAGCATTTATTGGAAGGCCCTCTCACGATAGGAGAGGAAAACAATACCACTGACCACCTTGTCATACAAAAAAATCCAATCCCCCATTTTGCACTACTTGCAATATTTTAGCTTTGCCTTGTGTTTGCCTATCAACATAGTATAAGGACCGCACCCCCCCCCCTTCTAAAGCCCGATATCAGAAATAATGCAGGTGGAAGCGTGAACGGAGAGAACTTGGAAAGATTTAATTTTCAACATTAAAAGACAAATCAGGGGCTGGTGCGATAGCACAGCGGGGAGGGTGTTTGCCTTGCATGTGGCCAACCCGGGTTCAATCCCCAGCATCCCATAGGGTCCCCCGAGCATCGCCTGGAGTAATTCCTGAGTGCAGAGATCCCCTGTGCATCGCTGGGTGTGGCCTCCTCCCCCCAATAAAAGACAAACCAACAACCTCAAAGCAGCGGCCTACCCAACTAGCCCAGCAGAAACCATTTGGAAATCTCTCTGGCGTTTGGGGACCCTAAGAGACACACTCTTCCAGGCAAACCCTCCTGGTGCTGCTAGTACCATGGGTTAGCGGGGAGTCCAAGAGTTCAGAGCATAAACTCCAAGTCTTCTCTGAGTTTAGAAAGAAAGAAGGGGCGACCATCCCTTCTGATCTGTGGGGGATGAATGAGGCCCTGCAGATAGATGGGATTTGCTCTTTGTCGAGTAACTGCACATAGATGGGATTCGCCCTTCGCCAAGTAACTGCACCGGGCAAACCCTCCCTTCCAGTAACCGCATTCTCCCTCGTGCAGCCCGAGTTTTTCCTCTTTGTTTAAATTACAGGATTGCAAGAGGATTCTTTGTAGTCCGGGCACTAAAGTGACAGCTGTTCATCATTATCCTCATCAAGGGAATGTAAAATAAAAATAGTCATTTGTCTCTGATCTTAGAGGCAAAAAAAGGAAAGGGTAGAAAAAAAAAGGATGGTCTGTGAACATTTAACCTTTAATGTGCAGGTTCACTAATGCTGTTTACAAAATGTGGATAATAGTGTGGAGAAGAGCTTTCTTCTGAGGACCAGAAGGCCGGGACTCTTTTTCTCTCAGGCCTTTGGAGGAATCGGCAAGGGATTCAAACAATGAGAAAATGGCCAGTCATTGTTGAGACTGTTTACAAGTATCCCCGCAGTGATGGAGCAGGCTGTTGGGCTGAAATTCTCTCTCCTGACCCCCCACGTGCCATGGCGGGGCAGGGCGTGAGACAGGCAAATGTGAGACCGTTTCTGCTCTTCTGGGAGGCCTCTGGTAGACTTCAAGAGTTGGGTGAGATCTGGGCGGGGGGTGGGGGCTGGAATCTGGCAGGATTAGGATGGACAGACTGTTCATTTCACCTGCTGCTTCTCTCTCTCTCTTTCTTTCTTTCTTTCTTTCTTTCTTTCTTTCTTCCCTCCTTCTTTCCTTCCTTTCTCTCCTTCCTTCCTTCCTTCCTTCCTTCCTTCCTTCCTTCCTTCCTTCTTTCCTTCCTTTCTCTCTCTCCTTTCTCTCTCTCCTTTCTTTCTTTCTTTCTTTCTTTCTTTCTTTCTTTCTTTCTTTCTTTCTTTCTTTCTTTCTTTCTTTCTTTCTCTCTCTCTCTCCCTCTTTCTTTCTTTCTTTCTTTCTTTCTTCTTCCTTTCTTCCTTTCTTTCTTTCTCAAATCACCATGAGATACAATTACAGACATACAAACTTTCTTTCTTTCTTTCTTTCTTTCTTTCTTTCTTTCTTTTTTTGCTTTTTGGGTCACACCTGGTGATGCTCAGGGGTTCCTCCTGGCTCTGCACTCAGGAATTACTCCTGGTGGTGCTCAGGGAACCATATGGGATAGTGGGAATCGAACCCGTGCAAAGCAAACGCCCTACCCTCTGTGCCGTCGCTCCAGTCCACAGTTACAGACTTACAAACTTTCACGATTACGTTTCAGTCATACAATGACCGAGCACCCATCCCTCCACCAGTGCCCATTCTCCATCACCAATGTTCCCAGTATCCCTCCCGTGACCCCCACCCCATCCCTGCAACTTTTCAAGGTAGACGGATATCGTTATGATTACTCTGCTTTGCAGTTTGCAGACGGGATGCCCGAGTCCACAAAGATGGACGCCACTTCCTTGAAGCCATTTAGTTGACGAGCCTGAGTGGGGGCAGCGGCTCACATAGGGGGTGGATGGCCGAGGCACCCTCTAAACTACCCACTTTTCCGTTCCTGCTCGGAGCTAGGCCGATGACTCCTTAGCAATGTGTCAGGAACAAACACAGTCGCCTCTTTTTACCCGGAAGTCACTGGGCTGTCAAGACAGGTTTGGAGCGAAGAGAAATGCCCCTGGTGGACCTTCCTGCTCAGGAAGGCAGACAAAGATACCACTGGACAGTCTCTGTTTTTTCATGGCATCTCCCAAAGCAGTGCTCTGGGTACCCACGCCTACTCCCAACAATTCTCGAACGACAGTTCATCCAACGCCCAGGCCTGAGGTTGTGATGCTGCTTGGGCCTTGCACTTCTGAGGGTCTCCAGAGACAACCCCCAGTGATGCTTAGGTGGTGGGGGGCATTTGGTGCTGGGATTGAACCGGGCTTGGGTATGCATGCATGCAGACACCGTAGCCCGTGGAGCAACTTCCTGGCCCCCAACCTATGATATTTATTTATTTAGCTCTTTTGGTTACACCCAGTGATTCTC